AAAAAAAAAATTTTTTTTTTTTTTTTTTTTTTTTTTTTTTTTTACATAATTATAGCCACGGATTTGTATGAAATGGATTTGCACATGGAAAAATTACATAAATTAACATTACATAAATAAATATAAATTACATAAATTAAAAATTACATAAATATATATACGTAAAATTTATAAATATTTTACGTATTTTTGAATGAAGAAATGAAAGAGAGAGCCTTCATCTTGTATAGAAACGTCGCACACAATTCGGGTAATTATGCACGTGCTTTATAAGCATTTTTACTTTTAACAATAAATGAACTAAAGCTTTGTTTGGTCATAAGGTCGTGAGGTGCATAAAACTAAGAAGATAAGATGTATAGATAACTAAGAAGAAAGTAAGTTTCAGTAATTATTCCTGTTAGACAGAATATTGATTGTGGTTAATTATTTAAAATGAAATATCAATCTTCTTATCAGATTGATTTGTCAGCATATATTCAATTATAAGATCTTTTCATATTTTCAGGTCTAAACAGGAGATTTACATAAATCTGCAGAATGTGTAAATAATTTTATAATATTTAACTTCGATTCTCTTCGGTGTTGTTTGGATTCATATCAATATTCTGTCTGTGCTTTTTGCATGCTTGACAAACTAATTTTATTTTAACTAATATTGTATATGTACATCCTTAATTTATGGTTCTTTTTTTAAAATTGTGTAGTAAAAGTAACTTTACAGGTTCTTATGTGTATCATTACTTACTGAAATTCTCCAAGTAGAGTAAAAGAACATTTTTGGTTTTCCACTGTAACTACACCAAGAACTATTCGTGGTTTCGGTGTAGTGGGTTACTTGTTTAAACACCATTTCAGTATTAAGTACTTGCTACCGTTTTTAGTGTTCAGATACACGAAAAGTTTTCTCAGCGATCTTGAATTTAATGCAAATAGCATTTACCGTTACCGTTATGGAAATTGTGGCCCCATATAACCGAATTATTTTGACTGTTTGTTTCTTTTTTTCTTCTTGTACATAATAATAATAATAATGATAATATAAAAATGTTTTAATGCTTTTCAATTTATCTCTGAAACAACTGTTTTATCTTAATTTACTTTGCAAAATCGTCATATTGTAACGAAGTCAGTGTCTTAAAACTATTATTACGGTCTATTTTAATACTGCTATCGTCATGAAAAAATAAAATCATGATAAAATTAGGACATTTTAAGTCAATAAGAAAGACACCATAAAATACTAATGATACAAAGTCAATAAACAAATTATTACCGTAAGAATTAAATAAAGCATTTTGAGTCAATAATGCACTTTCAATTGCTCAGCTTTTAATCCTTACAGTATGGATGGTAGACTGTGTAAAGCTAAAGGCAGATGGCACTATGGGTTAAAATATTCGTAAGATATGGGTTAATATTTTCAACTGAATTTTACACTTAAACGTGAAAAAACGCCCCATCCAATATTATTATATTTGTAGTGTTTCCAATATAGCACGCAATCATTCAGTCTAAAAATGCTTCCTATTATAATTTGCAAGTGCGTCTGAGGAGGACATCGTTGTATTTTTTGTATTTTTCAATATTCTTTATTTAATTCATATGGTAATAATTTATTTATTGAGTCCCAGCTGTTAATTTCAATGACAATGATAAGAGGATCCTTTTTAAACGATGTTTGCAGCAAAAAGAGAGCTTTTGGAATCAAATTGTTCAAACACATTGCAGTGGTTTAGATATTGGAGTAGTATTTGTCGTGGAAATGCCTTGCAGATACAATTTAATTTTCATTCTGGTTTCATCCGTTGTCTATTGCCATGGATTTGACTTTGGAAAAATTATTAAAAACGCACGTGAACAGGCGATCATAGCAATGGGTGATTCTTATGTAGGATGTTTTATCCACCAATATTGTGATTGTGGTAAGATTATTATTTTTAAAATTATTTACCTTTATTGTTGAGGGGAAAAGACATTTCTAGACATTCATATTTTGCCTAAAAATCTCTTTGAAAATTAAATATATTAATTGATAAAATTGTAAAGATTGTTATTCTTTGCCTAAATTCTACTGTTCAATAATCACATAAAATTTTAACAATCGAAAAACATTTTAGATTATGTGCAATATTATGAATGATATAGACCGTGGGAGAGTTATAGAATGTTACAAGCCATGGCAATGTTTTATATATAAGGCATTCATAAAGGAAGCATCGCAAATAGCTAAAAAGCACTTTTCGTTTGCCAACTCTGGCAAGTATTATAATAAGTATAAATTGCTTGTGTAATTTGTGACATTGTGCCACTCACTATTTTTTAGATCTAAATTTATGTAATCCCTTAAATTAATTTGGCATTGTTTACACTTTTTCTTATAGAAGTGGAATGGAATGTCGCTCCCCTTAAATTCATAGAATGGCAGATGATTCGGCTTTGTTTGATGTATCCACGTAAAACCTTTTACTTCTACTCTTTTTCTTTTTTCTCAACTGTAACTTTCCCAAAAATGTAAACACTTCAACTTTTATTGTACCTTCTTACACCTGTTTTAACTGTAACTTCTAGTTTTTTCTAACTTCCAACTCGTTTGCAGCATTTTTCTATTTAAAGGGTGAACTGCTCTTAACGCGCGCATTCGATTTTCCCCCACCTACCCCCCTAAGGCAGCTTTGAAGGATGGTGCTCTTAAGAACTCGGAAGTTTTCTTCAAAATAATTGTAACTATTTTGTTGCATCTCATTTTATATTGAGTCCTTTATAAGTTTTCCTGTTGTGTTAAATCTTGGAGTTGAAAAAAGGGCTTTTTTTATGTTGATTGAGCAACGTATATCTTCCATCTACTACTTGGTTGATTGAGCAGCTTGTCTAAGAGATGACGACCTGAAATTCCCGCGCCTCCTCTCCACTCACATACTTCACCAGTAAGTTTTATTCTTCCTGTTTGTTTTGTGTGCCTCCACCAATGCCTTTTCGGACTCAAAAAGATTTCTGTTACATATTCAAGAAAATGACTGGCCTGTTTATAATATTGATGGTAGACTGCTCTTTACTTTAAACTGGCATGGGAAGGTATTACGTTTTTGTCACGATTATTTATCTGGGTTGCTGAGAAACATCCATTCTTCTCCGCTAGCATGTTCATTCCCCAAGTTAACATTTATTTTTTTTATAAACCAGCACTATACGAAAGTAATAAATTAAATTGTAATACATTAATAATTAATCTTTGAGATTATCTGAAAATCAATAAGTTCGGAAAAAATATTTGCTCATTAACATTTTGCTCAGTTTTAAGGAAACTTTCAGTGCTTTGCAAAGTAATAAGTTGCTCAAATAAGAATCTGGAGATTAAATTTATTTATTTGAAGATGAAATTTATAAATTATTACATGTTTAACATTATCTGCAATGTTAATATTGCACTTAATATTTGCTACTCATGATTCATGAATAAGCCGAAAAGAATCGTCTGTTAATACAATTATTAAAAAAAAAAAGAATTTTAATTTTTGTATAAAAATAAACATTCATTAATGCAAATAACTTCTTATACTTCTTCCTTAAAGGAAAAACTTGAATTTAAAATCTTTTATGTAATCTGATTTCATATTTTACGTATATTTTATAAATATATACCCAAAGTTGTAAAAAATAATTAATAACTGTAAAACAATTTACTTTACTGGGAGTGCTATTTTGACTTAAAATGAAAGAAACATTTATTATTATTATATAATAGAAATTTTTCACGTATTTTAAATATTATTCTAGATTTTTTTTTACAAAAAAAACGTAACATCTCAACCATCACTATTTATGTGTGAAACCAGTACAAAAGTCAGAGAGAGATGAAATCAAACTTTTACCTTCTGTAAACAAGAAACATAGATAGTCGTGATAAGTGAAAAGTTTATGACAAGATTGGCAAAAATAATTCGAAAAGATCCTTTTTAAATGTCAGGCACAGACCTAATATGTTTCCGCTATGAAAGGTGCCGGGTGTGTTGCTCATTTTGCTTTTCTTGGTGAGCACCTTGTGACCAAAGTCACGGAGGTGCGAAAAATTACACACTCCACACTACCACAGATACCCATTCGTAGGGTGGGTCTTATTCACAAATCACACACAATAGAGGACAAGGTATAGAGAGAAACATCCGCGCAATGAGCATGATTCGAATCCTCAGCTATTGACTTCGCAGTAAGGGACGATTGCGGCTCGGCCGTTTTGGCGTAAGCCTAATCATTTATTGAAATTTTGATTCACTTACATTCTTTCAAGTATGTATGAAAGCTAGATTCGGTAATAGCTTGAGTTTTTACACCGAATAGGATATTGAGTTTGAACTTCGAATTTGGATAATAATTTACCACAGTTTCTACAGTATTTTTAGAGTTCTTTCTCAACAATATTATTAAAAAATATGCATATAAGATACAGCAACTTCACACTGTTGAAGATAAAAAAAACTGTATCAAACTTTGCCGAATTGCAATAAAGGAAAATGTCGAATTAATACTGAGGTGTGATGAAAAACATCAAAACTATATAACGCTTGTCTACCTATTTCAACTTGTCTTGGATTCGTCCAGAAATCAAATAGGTCTTAATGATCCCAGTTCTCAGCAGTGGTTCGTTAGATTACGATAACTGTTTTATTTTTAATCCTGTAAGTACTAAGACGCATAACTTTAATTTTATACTTATATATATATATATANTAAGTATATATATATATATGTATCAGGAACGCAATTTTAATAACACTCTTGTGTATGAAATCCACTTATTTTAAAAAGAGTGCCGAAAAAGCTTCACTTATTTAACATTAATGTAAGTGTGATTCATTTTTACAGGTATTAGCTGAAACTCACTTTTTATCAATACTATATTTTAATAAACTACATTTACTGTTATAGAATTAACTGCAGAAGAATTAACGTGCTTCGATTATTGGCATAGAGATGTAAGTATCTCATATATTTGACTTTTTATTAAATCATAAATGTTGTTCCATTAAGGCACTACACAATTTATATTTGAAAAAATATTCACATGGGGTGACGGTGAATTAATAGCTAAATAAAAAAAAAAGAAAAAGGAAAGTCAAAAAGTAAATATGAAGGTGAAGCAGAGTATGGAAACCTGTTTGATTGTTGGAGTAAGTTATTACGAACAAAATGTTGCAAACGAATATCACCCTCACTAAATCCTGATATATAGTTTGAGCTACCAATGATTTAGGTAAATATTTATTAAAAGTGTTTTCAATTAAAAAATTTTCTTCCTGATTTCTCAATTTCTTTTTAATTATCTTCTTCATAAAAAATAAAATTATTCCAGACTTGGAACACTTATAGAGTATTGTGGAATGCAGAGTGTGAATTTAAAGATAGATACGTTTTCCCGGAATGGAAAAATGTTTCTTTATCTACTGATATATTGATACCCTTGGTCTGCAACAACAGAGACTCGACGGTAAAAAAAATTATCAAATTTTCTCTCTTACTTTTTCAATTATAAGATTTTCTACCTTATAAGATTCAATTATAAGATTATAAGATTTCAATTATAATATTGCAATTATACGTACCAATAAGTATTATTCATTTTTTTTTACAAAAACATTCATGTTTTAAAAAAATAGCATCATGAGCATTGATTAACACAAATTATGTGGGCAACTTAAATATTAATAAATTTAAGTTGCCCACATAATTTGTCTTAATATGGCTCTTTATCTTCTGATATATTAACACCTTTGGTTTGCAACGACAAAGACTCGACATTAAAAAAATAATTCAGACCATTTATCAAAATTTTTCTCTTACTTTTTCAATTATAAGATTTTCTACCTTATAAGTTTCAATTATAAGATTTTCTACCTTACAAGTTTCAATTATAAGATTATAAGATTTCAATTATAAGATTTCAATTATAAGCGCCAATAAGTAATATTCCTTTTCTTTTACAAAAACATTTAAGTTTCAAAAAATAGTATCATGAGCATTGATTAACACAAATTATGTGGTCAACTTAAATATAAATGTATTTTTATTCTGTGCAAATAAAAAGGAGAGAAATAAAAATGCCGCCTGAACCGTGTCACAAATTATCAGTCTCCTACCTTTAACTTTCAGTTTTACAAAAAATTGATAAGATATATTTATTTTAAAACTTAGATAATAAAATATATTTTTAGAAATATAAGACATTTATTTATCAATATATAATATATATTTATAAAAAAATAAGATATATTTTTTCTGGATGAATTTTTTTTAAAAAATATGGCACTGCTCAAAATTATCTCTTGGCTATAATTACGCAATTCGACCATAATTAGTTTATAAGTAAGGTGTAAGACGGTAAAGAACCTTTAGTCAACAAAACAGCTTTGGACCATCAAATTTACGGAGAAAATCTGAAAAAAATTGATATTTTTTACAGTGCTCATAGAATTTTTGACACAGAATTTTGCCATAACCAGTAAACTAATTTCTTTTTATTTTTCTATGGTGCAGAAAAAATGCCTTTTGAAAACAGTTAGCACAATTCTAGATTATAATGTAAGTAATTCCCTTTTAAATAAATAAAAGTATGTCTTTAAAAATAACAAAAATAAATATGTGTTGCCATAATTATTTACAGGGCAAGCTTGAAAAAGAAAAAAATTCTCCTAGCCGTAGGGAGGAATTTGCTGGCATGGAAAAATATTTGGTGAGTTTACATTTATATTATTCTCGTGCATTGATCTTTATAAAATGCTATGGCGTAACATATTTCTAAACATCGTAAAGAAGAACTTAACTGTGTTCATTTAGAAAAGAAAAATTGATTTCATACTGGTTTTGGAAAAAATATGAGACACTCAAGAATATACGTGAGAACTTTAAATTTATAATGTAACGATTAAAAGTGCAAGCGCTTTTATAGAAAGTGGCAAGTAAAAAGCAAAAACTTTAAAAATTGAAATTTTTGAAAAATTACTCGTAAAAAGCAAAAAACAAAATTTGGTTTTAAAAAGTAACGATTAAAAAGTTCATGAAAAAGTACGAAAAAAGGAAAAGAAAGAAACAATCTGAAAGTACAATTCGAGAAAATCAAAAATTCAAACTAGCCTTAAATTTCACTGACAATGTAGGTACAAAAATGTATTTTTTTTATTTTAAAATGACTTAAATTTTACATTTAAATGTATACAATTTTAAGACGCACCAAAATATTACGACATTTGCTGAAATAGCAAAGAAATTAAAATATAATGTATGCATATAAAAAGCTTTAATTTATGTTCATTTTCTTCAGAAATTCGAAATATTGACAAATTTTGTTTTTACTGTCAGAAAATATAGTTCATTAATAAATTTACTTGTTGAAGAAACTCGATAAAAAAATAAGTGAATAAATGTAAATTTGCATTCAAATTAAAAAAAAATCCTTGAAATTTTCTGAATTAAAAATTATTTATTGTTTAAAATTTCGTTCTCCGTTAAAATGTTACACTTTGAAACTTTATATAGTGGCTGTTTTCAAATTTGCGATATTGATATGGGACATTGAATTCACTAACAATAAAAAATTTAGCATTTATATATTTTTTTAAATTTAATGATCTGAGTAACTGATTCTTTTGCATACAATAATTTAAAAATGAAAAGTTAAACAAATCAAATTAAAATATAGCACTGTTCTAGAAATATTGTAATGCATACTTTATTTTAATTAAATAAAGCATAGTTTTTATACTTAAGAAATAAATTCTATAAAAACTCATATTGGGCAACAATTTTATGTTTTAGTAACATTAAATAAATTATTATTAATAATGAATTATTTTTAACTATTATTATCATTATTTTATTTTCGATTTATTCAATATTTCAATGCACATTTTTCTTCGTTCAAAAACTTCTTTAGAACCTTTTGATCTGAGCAAATTTCTTTCAACACCACAGGTATTTGCTCCGTATATTACCACTGATTCTTAGATAATAGATAATGCTTCACCATATGAAAAGATTGTCCTTTCATTGCTGAAATAGTCAGTCACTCAATGACTTTTGCAGTAGTAAAATGTTCAAAAGACCCAATCTCTGCTTATCAGTTGTGTTAAAAAGAATCTAATAGAATCAATTTGAAATTTAAAAAAAATAATTTCAAATTTTTTAGAATGAATTTTTGAAAATTCTATTCTAAAAGGTCAAAATTCTAAAAGGTAGTTCGATTAATCGATTTAAGGCGATTGACAACTTGACATAAATGAAATGTAAGGATCGTAATTTTTTTAATGCTGTCCTCTTTTATATTTGTAGTTTAATTTAAATGAATTTTAAATTTGAAGGATAAATAAAACCGGTCACATTGTAAACACTGAAGTTCAATAACAGTATTTTATGGCATGTTTTTTTTTAAAACTTAAGCATTAAAGTAATGACCCGGAAGTCTTTTAACGAGCTTGTCTCACATAGAAATGATCGTAAGACAGGGTTTCAAAAAGATCGCAGAAGTCAAGCAACACTGGCAGAGATCGATGAGTAGTGGATAATCACTTTGATCAGCCTGCGAAAGAACAGAGAGGGTTTGGAATCGTTCCTTGTTAAAATATTCTACCTTGAAGTGATCAACTTTGAGTTGAGGATCGTTGGGTAACCACAGTGGGGCACCCACCCCTTCTGCAGAGAATCACAACTGCGATAACATGTCCTCGGATCACCCTCAGTCATGCTTCCCTGACCACTGACAATGGCCCATTGTGAAGCTCTAGTACGACGTAAAAAAGTACTACCATTTATTACGACTTTCAAACTCTAGCACCACCTGTGTTTAGCTTTATATAGTTTTACATCCATAGACGTCGACTGCCTGGTTTCAGCATCACGAACAGGAACTTGAAACCTCTGTAACGCTTTTGTGTGCTGCGCAGGATCTCTACTTTAGAGCACATTGTTGGAAAAACAGAACTATTGAAGAGCTATTACGTTATTCGGAATTTTGATGGATATATTTCTGTTAAGTATTCACATTTAACCTATGGGAAATGTTATAAAACTTTTTTCCTTCTTTCTAGACTTGTCTCAAGGCAATCATGACCTCTTGCATGGCGTTTCCATATTATTGCAAGAGGTAAGTGAAACAAATAAGTTAGTTTAAAAAAATTGTATTCTGGAAAGAATTAAATTTTTTTTAAAACAAATAAATTATGAAACGGAATATATTTCTAGATTTTTAGCTTGTGTTTAAGATTAAATTTTATCTACGTCTAAACTGTTAAAAAAAATTGCAAAACTTTTTTGTTAATGGCGGGCACTCATATGCCAGGACTGCTACTCTCTTTTCGTTACTCAGTGGGCACCTGCGGTGAAGCCACGGTGGTAGAGCAGCGTCGCTCACGTCACACGACCACATACCCGTTTATAGGGCGGATCACATTCACACAATCACATATACAAAGGAGAAAGGACATAGAACACACACAGAGAGAGAAAGAAACATCCATGCCCTGAGCGGGATTCGAATCCGCAACCATCGGCTTCGCAGTCAGTCACGCTAACCACTCTGCCACCGAGTTGGCAAAATTGCAACACTAAAACTGTGACTTTTAAAATCAACTCGTAGGAGCAACTTAACAAGCCATGTCGAAAAAATTAAAACAATTGAGATTGATTGAAATTTTAGGGATTCATCATCTTTATTTTAATACAATAAAGCTGCTGAAAATTAATTGCTCAATAGCATTAACTGTTTGTTGAGACCAACTTCTTCCAAGACTTCTGTATGACAATTGCTTGCTAGTCATAAATAACTGCTCATGGAAGTAGAGGCAGAGCGATTTCTTGTATCAGGGGATAAAACGTTTTTTCTCTCAATTGGGTTTCACAAAAATGCTTTCAGTGGCGGATCAAGGGTTAGAATCTCTTTGTGAAGGAGGTATGGATCAGCTCCGAAGATTCCGGAGGCGTATTGACAAAACATACCG